GATGGTGCTTAATTCTTCTTGGAAAACAGGGTCTACCCCATGCTCAAATGAAACGGAGACTAATATCATGCGGGGCATTTTGTCTTGAGGAGAATGCACCATTTTTCACCTCTATGTCAATGCCACATTCATTGCATGCTGATGAATGTTTACCCTGTGAGGATTTTGAACAGAATGAACTGGATAGGGCCCAGCAAAACAAACCCACAGCATACAGTGCATTCAAAAATATTTAATAACTCTTTAAATGGGAAGGCAAGCAACCTACCACAGCCAGGTAAATACATTGAGAAAGTTTTTATTAGAAGGTATATTTCTGCCAAAATAAATAGTTACATTTTCTTCAGCAAAACATTAGAAAAAAGACTCAGGAGGAAAAAAAAGCATCAACAATTTAATACTGAACTTTTAAAGTGACTGTGAACACTACTTTGTGACATTGCCATGTAAATACATGACTTCCATATGCTATTGCTGCTCTAGTTGCTGCTCTGACATCCATAATTTCCACCAGATCTCCATGTGTGTTGTGTGCTTAAGGGTCTATCTCAAACTCAGTGACAGCAGCAGAGTCCCAAGATACATTTAGCTCAAAGAGCTGCTTTAGGTGTTGTTTTCAAAAGCAAGATAAAAACCCGAAAGAAAAAGGTTTATTATTTCAGAGTTACATTTCTTGGTCTTCTGTGTGGACTAGAGGTTTCCCCTCCCTGTGCAGGAAGGCTGATGGGGATCCACACAAGTGAGACTGACACGGATAGAGACTGTCCTAGTGGAGCTGCCTGCAGATTGGAAACAGAGCGATGTCCCATGGGTAGGGAAGTGGAAGGAGGGAGAGGAGAGGGCAACAAGTACTGCTGCATTCAGAAAGGCAGACACTGCAGGGCCATGGAGGGCAGGCAGGCCAGAGCCCACTGTAAAGGCACAAGGTGTGTTTGGCACGAACTGGCTGATGTGGCAGCCAGGTGAGGTGGTCCATTCTCTCATTGATTTCAGGGGAAGAGAGGAAACAAAGCTTGGGGGAAAAAAAAACCTCCAACCTGTTGGCAAGGCCTTCTGACTTTGGCAATGCTCAGCCCTGCCACCCACCACATCTAGCACGTGTTTAGCAGAAACAGACCCCTAAGGGAAACACACACAGAATTTCAGCTATTTTTCCCACAACCACTTTGGCGAAAGTGAGAGCTCTTCTCTTGGAGGAAGGAGTGAAATACTAGTTTATTTTTTTTTAAATGGGCAAAACCACTTGGGAATATATAAGTAGTACTAGGGACACCCCGGTGCTGGCAGACAGCAGATCTTCTTTTATTCTCTGGTCTGAGTGTTGCAGATACACAGCCCTCCAAGAAGTCATGAGAAAACAGTTCCTAGGTCCTATAGACAGTGGTCAGAAGAGAAGCATTTTCTCCTACCCCTTGAAAAATCAGCTTGCAACAATATTAACAGTAGGGCAGGCAGCAAACCAAATCATCATAGCACATGCATTGTGGCTTAAAAAGTATGCCATAGATACGGACTGTTGTACACAACATAAAACAACTCTACAGTGTTGTACAGGTTAGGGGCTGGTTAGATGCAGAAGAACTTCACCTTAGCCGTGTTAGAAGCACCTAGTACCTGTGTCACAGGAAGGAGAAAAAAAGTGGATTCCTGAATGCACAGACCCTTATGTGAAACAGTGGAAACTGCAAGGGTTGGAACTCTTGCAGAGTTCAAGTGAATGCTGTAAGGACAATTGGACAAGGACTGCAAGATGAACTTTTGGTCCAGGAACCTGACCTCTCAGCCACCACATACTGGAGAGCAGACAGGCCCTGCCAACTACCCACTGGGCTGCCCAGCCACATGTGTTACTGAAGAAGGGACTGACTGCTACAGACAATTACCTTGTTCCTATGAACTTAACAAGTGTAGGTTAATAGCAGCTGCTGCCCAGAAGACTATGCATGCTGTGAGGTACATGGTAGAACAAAGGCTTGAAGAATTCCAGTTAGCACTATCACAATAAAACCCTCCAGGTCCAACCTAGAGCCTTTCCCAGGTTACCAGGGATTTCAGAGAAGTGGAGTCTGATCTAGACAAGGCAGCACTGCATAACAAAAAGTATTCTTCAAAAGCAGCCACAGTCCTTTTTCTGCACCAGTGGGCTAAAAGATCTTCCCTATTGTCTTCATCCTTCACAATCTGTAATGAATAAGCAGCAAGGATTTCAAGCAAATGCATGAAACTTCTCTTAAGGAAGAGGAGGGTAGCTTAGGATATTTTTAAGAGATCTGCAGTTCCTTTATCAGAGCTTAAATCTATAAAGCCAATAAGCTATCATACAACAGACATTACATCATCTGGGGAATAAACACAGGCAAAGAAAGCATTAATACGGAGTGGTGCTTTCCCAGTATCCGTTCACACCCTGTAAATTAGCATAGGGAAAACAGGAGTTTCCTCCCTGAAGAGTTAGACCTTTACATTTAAAGCCAGGCTTTGGTTTGTGGTTACAGTTTGAAGTATACAAAAGCTTCACTGAGAGGTTAGTAAAATAAACGACAGATGAGGTGAAACACAGAATGGAACTCAGGCCTTTTACCAGGCACAGTGGTTAGTCTGTTGAAATGCATGGACCAGAACCAGCAAGTCTTCTGGATCAGAGCACTGGAACTCAGCAGCACCAGCCCAATCGGTTCTGATGCAAGAGGAGAACAGAGGAGATTCAGGGGATAAGACTGCCAAGCTCCAATTTCTTAGCACACTCTGTTGCCAAGAGAATTTTGTTTCATAGTTTAGTGGTTTACATAATCACTCAGTGGTTTTACCAGTCCAGGAAGAAGGGATAAAAAAAACAGTTGCATCATTTTCTCCACCCGTATATTAACACAAACAAGGCAGAGTCAAAAGGGCAGCAGCTTCTAAGCAAAAGATTTCCTTCATCCAGCTTTGCTCCTCACCAATGTTTTGCTTCTGGATGAAATGCCCTTATTTCTTGCCACTAAATAGCTGTATGTTCTTGACAATTACTCTGTGTGCATTCTGTCTGTGGCAGAAGAGATACATTGTCCCCTCTGTCTGTGGGACAAGAAATACAGATTTGGCAAACTAAGCAGCTGTGCATGTGCCATTCCCCCAAAAAAGGTAGCCCAAAGCAGTGGAATAAAAGAAATCCCACAGCAAACCACAAAATAAACACCTTCTCTCAATTCCAATTTTCAATGAAATTCATTGTGCTCCCACTGACTGACAGCAGCTTGCTGCTGGTTCACTTCGATTAGAGTTACATCAATTTATCAGTAAGCTTTTTCCACAGGCTTTAGACAAGCACAAGATTGACTTGTTTTATAATCCAATATACCAATTCCGGTTTCAGAATCCTCCAGTTTCTCTTCCCATAGTGACTTCCCTGTTCCCTAATAGTGTTAACTATGTGAACCTTAAGACTAAATCTGTCTGCATAAATGCAGGCCTGCTTCATAAGCTATGCAGGCCTTTGTGCTTTTAAATAGGTACGTTACATCCAGGAAGCGCAGTGGGGTGACACTCTAAGTCACAAGTCCGTATTTGCACTGGCATCTCCTAGACAGTTGGTTAGCACCACAGCTGCCCAGTCTATTGCCTCATAGCTTGCAATGGCCACTGCAGAAAAGACCTGATGCTTATCACAGTCTCCACCACAAACACTCAAACCCACGCCCAGTGCACAATTGTGTTGGTAGGAAACAGCACCCACCACCTCACCCACACTGCTTGTGCTCAAGCAGATTCGCTACTTTCTCCAGCTATTAGTAGAACTTCTGGGGTTATTTTTCCTTTCTAAATCAAAGGTGCAAAAGAGAGTCTATTATAAATCACTGTAGGCTATGTAATCAGCTTCAGATACCCTGTCCTGCTCCCCAGCAAAGAGAGCATATGTTGCTTTGGCCAGTTGCATACTGTTTGTGCTAAGAGAGGTAGACGACGCCTCATGCAGCTAGGCACACTGCAGAAAAAGATACCAGGAGCTGGTTTTGTGTCATAGTGAGAGGACTTAAGCTTAAGTACATGCAATCCCCACAGGAAGCCATGTCTCACCCTGCAAAGAACAGAGTTCATGCTTCTGCACAGTAAGTCACAACCAGACCACCACCAAGAAGGCAGTACCTTACAAGGCAGAGTCCTGCCCTGCTACAGGCCCACTAGCTCTGATCTTTTAAGGGACAAGGCAAATGTAGACAGTTCCAAGCGGGTTGCATGTGCACCAACACTCCTAACTTCACTTCCACTTCTCATCCTCCCTCTATTGCTAGCTACAGAGCTGTACCTGTGAGCTACAATGTGAGACAAGGCAAGCTGTGAGGCTGGTATAGCTACAAGCCTACATCCTTCTCACTCCAAAGCCTCAATGTCCAAACTCTTCGAGCGAAAGATAGAGCCAAGCCCCAGTTTTGCAGGAGATCCTTTCTATATCACCCACTTGGAATTTCCTTCAGTTGTGTGGTCCCTTAAGGGACAAAGCCTGACCCCTGATCAGAGGCAGCCACTTCCCCAGCACTTGCTGTGACACTCCACCACAAACCTCTCAAAAATAACATGCACTGCACAATCTCACCTTCCTACAAGCACTTCACATTGCTTCAGCTGCTAAGTTGATCCTGAGACAAGTCAGGCTGAGCTTTTCCAGGGCAACCCCACAGTAATTCCATTCAAAGCAACAGGAATGGGGCCTCAAATTCAACATGTTTCCCTGGAAAAAAACATCTGTCCAAATTACCTCTTTAAAATAAGCTCAATGACTTACACTCAGAGTTCAAGCTGCAGAAGTTCCATGAGGACAAAAATCAAAAAGGGAGAGACCAGAACAACATGAACCAGGGTAAATATATAACTTTTCTACATTTCTGCAGTCCCAGTGCAGTCTGCAGCAGGTCCAGCTCTGGCTTCCAGTGGGAATGCAGTTAAGGGACAGAACTGAGGCAAAGAAGAGATTTGGAAGAGAAAAGCTCAAGAGGAGATTTGGAAACAATAAGAAAAATTGGTTTGGCAAGAGGCTACTGAAAGTTGAAACTTTCAGTAGCACAAAGAGCTAAGGGATGTCAGATGATTTAAAAAAGACCAAGACTCATGCTCTTAAAAAACAAAGAAAGCTAAAAGCTGTATGAACTTGAGCGCGTCATCTACGTCCTGATTACTTGGCGGTAAAAAGCCAACGGCAATTCAAAGTGCATTATTTGGGAGAGCCCAGCTGGGTCAGCATCAGCCTGGTCATGGGCAATGTCCAGGCCTCAACACAAGTCTAGAGCAAGGTATCAGCCCACGTGTGCCTTTGAACACTGAGATCCCTTGCCTAGTCCAGTGGGCAACGAATGGCTACAGTCAATTCCACCAGTCTCCATCCCAGGGAAATCCCCTTTGCAGCATATTCGTGAGCACAGGGCAGCCCCGCTGCTGAGGGATGAGACTGGTCCCACCCTGTTTGCTCCCCTTCCCACCCACCCTCATCCTCTCACAGCAGCAGGCTCAGAAGAGTGGCAGGCACTCTTTTGCACAGTCTAGAGGTGGAAGCTTCATCTGAAACCCTTCCCGAGGGAAGAGGGAGGCCTGCATGTCCACATTGATGCAGAGTAAGCCCATCATGAGCTGGCGCTGGTAGTCCTCCCATTTCATCATGACATCAGACAGGGAACGGTTGCTTCTCATCCACATAGGCAGTGCTTCACCACAAGCCGGTGCAGAAGAAATTGGCAGGCTCTGGGGCCCTCCAAGCTCAAGGTGATAGTAAAGCCTGAAAGGCAAACAAACACATTCAAAGAATCAGTACATGGGAAGACTTGAGCAGGTCACCAGACCAGAGCTTCAGAACCAGAGAGCAATTTTGTTCTACCACTGACTGCATGATCTTAGTCAGGTGTGCCCGTTTTCACCCTCACATCTCTTGATTATTCAGCCCATGAGCTCTTGTGGGTAAGAATCACCCCCTTGTACTAGGATCGGAATCACAGCTGGGACCCTCTGCCTAGTACTGTACTACACAGTTTCTTATCCTCATCCGAGCAACACAGTCTTGCCTCAACCTCAAGCCATGGCCTACTGCAGGGAGTTCAGTTCAGAAACAGGCGTACACACAGACCCAAAGCACTCTGTCTCATTTACAAACCTTCTGGTGCTTTCTGGCCACCCTAGTGCCTCCCCTACCCTAAATCAGGCCTAGATCTTGAGGCAGAAAAGGTCATTTGAATGCAAGTACACTTTCAAAGGAACTTTTAGGGGACCCTGGGACAGCAAATGCCACAAAGACAAGCACCTCGGTCTTCTACAGGGAGCAGGGAATAAACTAGCATACTGTTTTAATTAGACCTACATCTTCTGCCCTATTGCTACAGTAACAGCTTCATTACAGAGTCTGCCCTGTAATGGGAAGAAGGAACGAGACCATGTACTGAGTCTATCCCAACATGGGATTAATGAAGCCAAGAGACCATGGACCAGATTTGCATTTTAGGTTGGGCAGTAAATCCTTCTTGTCAATTTGTGCTTTACTTGCTCTGTGCCAATGGAGTAGAGTCTGCACAAGGTAAAGGTGGAAGGGGATTTTTCCCTTCCGCCCTTCTGGAGGGCTCCTCCAAAATAGTGCTGCGGAGGAAAGCAGCCATACCTGGCTGAAAGATGGCTGCCCAGTTTCTTCTTGGCTTTCTTCACAAGATAGTTGCAGATTTCAGTTATCTGCTCCCTCATCCATCTAATATCCTCAGGGATATCTGGGAGCCATTCCAGCAACCTGGGAAGAGAGAAAAGACAACCATTAGTGGGGCCACACAAAGGATAGGATGGAAATAATGCCACTTTTGCCTCCTATCAATGGCTACTCATTATTTTTAGTGACAAATGCATTTAAGAGCCATTTACACTACCATTCACAGAATTAAGAGGAAGAAGCTGTAAAGGATAAGGACAACCCAGGAATTTATTCTTTACATTTTGTGTTTGCACTTTCCATATTTTTCATCCATTTTCAGATTTGAAAAGTGTTTTTCCCCAAGTCTTTCTATCACAAATGATCTCCTTCCAGAAACTTTCCACAGGGTACTTTGTACTAAGGACAAGTCTGACAGACCTGTCTTCCCTGAGTAAGTATAGAGCTGGAAATGGCTGGGAGTACTCTACCCCTTGCTCCAGAGGGGAACCACCTCTTGTGAGGTTCCTATTTTCATCCCTGTACTCCCAGTTCAGAAGTCTCTCTCCAGGCTCCAAAACTTAACACCATTTTCTAGGGCAAGTTCTAGCACACAGCCATCTCCCTTCAAGCTGGAATTATTGGCTGTAGCTAAGTGACACAAGAAAGTAGGAATTTCTTTCATATGTCTGGTTAAGTGACAGGAACACTTTCCTCTTAGAGAGGATTCTACTCTGTCCATTCATGCTCCACCAGCTATGTCAAACACTTGGTTGCACTGGGAAGAAAAACAGAGGGAACTAGTCAAAGGCCTACCTGACAGTGAAGGAAACTGCAGACTCCAGAGGCAGCATATAGGGAACCATCATTGCCGTGGCTACACGTATAGGCAGCATGTTGGTGATACCAGTCAAGAAACTTCTTCTTTCAGCACAAGCCTCCAGAAGAGCTGAAGACACAAGAGAACACGGCTGAATCCCCGCAATGGGACTAACCCTTTCCTTGCAATACTCCAGAGGTTACCCAGCCTGACATATCCCTTCTCCACATTTCACTTCTTAAGGAAGTCTTGCTCAGGGTAGTAATTCTATAAGCACAGCTGAGACCATCAGCTTTTAGCTTTATCAGACTCCCAAAAGAGCAAGTATCAAGATCCCCTCCTCTCCTTACCATGTAGAACACTGTCAAATGAGTCACCCTCTCCCAATTCAGCCTCCACAGTGTAAGCCACAACTTTATCTAAGAGTCCCCAACTCCGTCTAACCATCAGCAAGTGCCAGTTCGATCCCTGGGTATGGCTAAGCCCAGCCACAAGCAATACCCACCTCCCAATAATCCTCTGGACCAGGCAGCACAGGAGGATTGCCTGGGCTCTCTCCCTTTGGATCATACCTTGGTTCAGTCTGGGAGGCAAGTGTTCAAAGATGTGCTCTTCAACAACAGCAAGGGCAGTGTTGTCCTCTAGTTGGTCCTCAGCTTCTGTTTCTTCCTCTTTTTTCTCTTCTGGGGGAGCTTCTATGGCAAGGAGAGGACGGGCAGGACTTGGACGATGAAGGAGACCTGAGAAAAGAAGTCATACCATAAGGATGATACAGACTAGCTGCCCTGCCTCACCCGGCCTTTAGAGTGTTAGCTCTCACTTCACTCAAACCTCCTTCAGACAGACAGACATCATACCCAGCCCCTTTAGGTTATGTCTATTGTAATGCTTACCACAATGAGTTAGAAACCTTGCTGCTTTAAGATCATCTTCTTTCTCCCCACCAGAAATTCTAACTTTTCCTGTTTAAGTACTGCAGTGTGCTGTTTGGCAGTGTTTCGTTGTAATCTGCTAGTCACCAGTCTTGCAGGTAAGATTTCCCTCCTGCATCTTAATCCACAAACACAGCTGCATGACTGCTCTTAGCCCAGTAAGGTCCACATCCCAGAGCAACAAATGTGCTTTGTCTGCTATAAATTGACACTAGGTGGCGTCAAACACACTCAACCTGCTACAACAGTTGGAGGCCAGAAAGTCCAGTGGTTGCAGGTAGGAGTGAAAGTCGTGTCAAACCGCCAGGTGCTGGGGGCTGCTGAGGGCATGCCTGCACTCTGCACTGCTGTGGCACATTAGACATACCCTAGCTGTGTATAAAAAGGAGCAGGGTGCCTGCAGGAGGTCCAAACGGCACTAGTGTTGATGTAGCACTTAAGCACATGCTAAGCAGCTTCAACACTCAGTGGTGCCAAAGCCACCGCTCTGGCATCAGAGTTGGTTAGAGTCCTTATGCATTGCACTGGAAAGGTGTCCACACCACCTCTGCTTCCTGAAGTGCTAAAATAGACTTAAGGGAAATTCCATATTCCAATATCTGACACACAGCTCAATTCTGTTCCTTGAACCTTTCATATGCACCATTGGCTATTCTCAAAGTCAAGCCACTAAGCCTGGCACAGAAGAGGCAAGTCAGTGGACCCTACGAACATCCAGTGCCTTACCATTCTTTTTCAGGAAGTGCAGTGCATCCCGATAGCCCTGCTTGCACATATCCCGCAGCACCTGTGGGTAGAGGAAGGCAAGAACAAGGCATTTGGAGATTGTCTGGCTGAGCCCAGCCCAATGCTGGCTTTAGAGGAATTCTGACTCCTGAGCTACCCCAAGGAGAAGTCTCATCCTTGTCAGCTCTTCCCAGGTTTTGAGTAGAAATGGGAGGTATAACACAAATACATTGGATATAGGAATCACAGGATAAATCAGATTGTAAGGGACACCTGGAATCCTAAGTACAGGCTTAGAGTTGCAGCCACCTCATTTCACCATCTAGAGCTGCTGTTACTGTGGGCAGCCTTCAGCAAGTCACTCTGATAAGCATACTGCCCAGAATACTTCCCAGCAGATGACAGGAAGGGCCACTGCATTTGCAGATAAAGCCAGCTAAGACTAGAGAGGGGGCAAGGAAAAACTTGTCCAAGTAATTCAGCACATGAATACATGCTTATTATGCCCAAATGCCAGGGCTCTCTGATGCTGCATTTGCTCAGAGGCATGCAAAGCTGTTTGCAGTGCCACCTGCTCTACTGGCACTTTTTAGGACAGTCACCGGCTTCAGGCTGGCAGTTCCATCCTGACCTTAAAAAACCTCAAGAGCATATTGGTTCCAATGGCTGATACATCCTTGTTTACAAGTCAGCCTGACTTCATAGCAAATGCCACTCTAGAGAGAACCACATGGGAATATTTTCCAAGCAACTCCTACCGCCTAGCAAAAGTAGCAAAAGAAAAATCAAGTGACCTATACAACTTTGTGCAGATGGTCAAGGTTTGCCAAGTCACTGGATTGATAATGTCAAGGTTAAAAAACAGACAAGCAAGAGATACAAAACTAACAGTGTCTGGAATCTTCTTCTGCTAATGTGCACAGTATAGCCAGTGCCTATCTACTATACCCAAGTTCTGCTGCTTGTGATGAAACTCACCTGTGGCTCTGGAGGAAACAGGGCCTTTGAGAGGCGGTACAGGTTGCGAAGGTTAAACTGGATGCTTGTATTGGTGACTCTCAGCTCATGCATGTTTGTGGAGCTGTCCCGTGGACAGATATCACTCTCTCCTGAGAATGGAGACACCGTGATTGTGTTCTTCAGCTCATATCGTGGCAAGTTGTCAGAAATCCCTCCATCAACGTATCTCTGAAATCAAGACAAATAAAAACACTCTTTATTCTCGTAGCTGATCCAAGCAACTTTTTTACTCTTTGTCCCTGTTAATATTTGTGCTAACAACTTGGGAAGAGAATTAAATACATCCACCAGCACTGGAGTCAAAAATCAATGACAGCACAGCTGTATTGTCTATAATATACTTTTGCTATGTGCCTTTCTTCCTATGGTCAAGTGTGTTGGTCACAAGTGTTCAATGAGAAAGGCATATTCACTTGTGTGACTGCTGACATACATCTCCTATGGGGTTTGACTGCTGTCCAATTAAATAATATGACACACCAACCACCACCTGCAGTGCAAATTAGCACCATCTAAGCTGTCACACTGTGACATTGTGCCATTTTTCACTTGTGTTTAAAACAAACAAGCTCAGATACAGGTCCCCATGGGTGGACTAAGAGTAAAACCAGCTGATTTGTTGCTAACAGGTTTATCAAGCAGCAATCCCAACACATGCATACACATTTGGAATCTACTTGCTGGGGTGTGATAATAGTGTACAAGGGACACTAACAGGCACTCTCTTAGCAGAGAGTGTTCTGCACATATGTACCATAAATACATTTGCATTACCCTTGCAGGAAGGGCAACCCTTGAGTAGCATGTACTCAATTCAAAGTATTCTTTGAAGAACTGTAATTGCACAAGGAGCTGAGCAAGACAATCCCTATCACAAGCCTTTGGCAGAGCAAGCAACATGAACAAGATAAAAGAAGGGTACATTGGTCAAGCCAAAAGAGCAGGAAGTTTGAGACTTTTGCAGAGTGAACTCAAGCTCTCATGAACCTCAGTTATAGAACAGTCATGCTGATTTTGTATCAGGGTTGATTCTGCCATTTGCTACTTGGAACGCCTCCCTTTGGATGGGTTCAAACGCAAATCATCATGAGGAGCTACACAGCCCCATAAGCAGCAGCTGTAACATCTTTCATCTCTGCTGCATGAGGAGCTGGGCTGGCAGAAGCTGAACCCATGCAGAGCATAAAAATGCTGATCGGAAGTGGAGGCACTCCATTCTC